AGCAGAGAAAATACGAAAAAGCACAGATGAATTTAAATGCAGTTATCCCTCAATGTACGAAAGGGATGCGTTCTTCAAAAAACATGTATAATACAACATGTTGTAAATCAGAATGGCTTTTACCATTAATTTAATACTAAAAGCAGGGATTTGGACAGCCATTCCAACTTTACTCCTAACCTAAATACATTCACCGACATCACTTTGCACAATACAAAAATAATAATAAAAAATAACAAATATTAAAAGGATTGAATAAGAATGATATTCAAACAATTAACCTTTTTCAGAGAACTCGGCAACAGATCTACATGTTGGATTGACTAGAAAGGTAATGTTTCGGCGTTCCTGTTGCAACTGTAGGAATACCGTGACACTGTCATGGACGGATAACGTAGCCTCCCAGGTGGTTCTTGTTGGATCTCATGCCGCATGCCATGTGAAATTTTGTTCACGTGGAAATTCAATTTCGTTAATTGAAATGGGTCGATAACTTATCAATTACGTTTACGTTGGCCAGTGTGGCGCTTTGGGATGTTTGTAAATCGAGGGATACCTGTATAGCATAGCATAAATGGATTTACAGACCCATGTTTTTGACCATTGTAAATATAATGGAGCATCGATGGATGTTTTTCTAATTATTTTTATACAGAATTTCCAGCCCTTAACTTAATGCAGACGAAAATGTTTAAGAACGTGATGATTATCATCAAATGCCCATGAATAAAAATATTTCCATCAACCTCTGGTAGATAGCTTCTAAGTGAGTTTTTTTTAGTGTTTCATATTAACCACTGAGGAATAATTTACACTATATTATCATATTTATATACTGCATTTCCTCTGAAAATTAAAACGTATTCATGTGCAGTGCAATTTTAAATTTCTCTAATAGTACAAAAAGAACTAAAGAACGAATCCCTGCAACATGAAAACTACTCAAAGTGAAACTGGTGGAGTATTTTGGTGTAGCACAATATTGAAATAGTCTTGACTGAGTGAGGCTTTCCTGACTTTTTGGATTATTGTTATTTATGGCTGAGCTTGATTAAGGTGTATGTAAATAAACTACAACAAATGAACAACATTTCCACGTATGTTACCTTTCTGTCAGCGTTTAAAAACATTTAATCTCAGTAAAATCCTATTTTTATCTGCATAAAAAGCATTTTGATTGATTGATGCTCTCCATCAGACTGAAGCTAGGCTGTCCATGCCCTTTATATGATTTACTTTTTTTTCATTGGGGCATCTTAAGAGATGGCACTACCTTCCATTGTTTTGTGATGCCACAGCCACACCGTGGCCAGATAGCAGCTTAAATTACTAAAACCAAACTTTGCATGGGCCTCCCATTAAACCTGCCTGCTGCCTTAGCAGGCTTGGGTATGGTGATCAGGCGCTGCTAACATGTGCATTACATAGAACACACACAACTCTGTTCACTTTCACCTGTGGTGCATGCACATGTTTAAATATTATCCTGTAAGCAAATCATAATTCTGCATTGGATTGGTATTTAAAACAATTAAAGTTTTGATTCTACTTTTCTAGCGATATGAATTGAATGGCAATCCATGTATAAATTCAAAATCCAGCTAAGTGGCTTCTATGGACAACTAGTGAATCCCTCGTGTTCCCATGGAGGTTACCCATGCGTTGTTATTTTTTTTTCAGTCAGAAGCTGGTGTAAGTAAAATCTGGTGACGATTTCAAGTTTCAGCAATGCGATTTTCAGGTAGTGGGGCTTTGTTGAGAAGTGCATTTGGGGAAGAACGGACTTGGTATGATTGTCTAGTTATGCCTCCGTAAATAACTTTTCAGTACTGATGGGATGCTAACAGGGGGGTTATCGAGTGAGTGGCACTCTTGGAAGAATGAGATTTGTCTGCTCTGGAAGAATAATTACCATGAATCGCTCTACTGAAGTGTAGTGCATGTGGTAGAGCCATTGGTGGAGGAGAGTGGGATGGGGATGGTATTTTAGAAAGATATGCATTCCATTGTTTATAACTCGATCTCTTCCGGGTTCACTCATCGTTTTATATAAAGGCTTGTGCAGTTAATTTATTTTTATTTGAAGTATCCAAACTTCCAATGTTTATTTTTTAATTATGTTTGAGAAGAATTCGCCTGATGGTAATGCTATATTTCATTTGGAGGGAAGATCACAATAAAAAAAGTATAAGCTGCAATAGATGCTACAATGAAGAGAGTTTCAAAATGCAGCATGTTATTCTAGAGTACAATTATATTTTGTTCTGGCCAAATACTCATGTCACTTACAAATAATCTTTCGCTTTGTTGTTGATGAACAGGCAGATAATTCACTAACACTCAAATGAACAGTACTTCTTTGTGGCACAATACTAAATTATTATACACAGGCTAATGAACACTTGCCATTGAGTCCATGTGATGCAATAATTTTTTTTGCAAAGCCATTGCTATTCCGTCACACAAACTCAATAGCAAATGGTATCTAGCCCATGTGTGAACTTGTAATGTTCTTGTTTAAAACCAGCAATAGTTGTCCATTCATTGTCTAATACATGTCATTTTTGCCCTGATGTATCAAGGGCAGCTATCGTACGCTTCTTCCCGCAAAATTATGTTAGCTATTTCTCAACAGGTAATGGTGTTAACTTGTGCGTGTACACAAAACTGACATCGCCACTATATCAAGTGGCACATGTATCTCACAGGGCCATGAGCACTGCTCCCGCCCATTGACCATCTATTCACAAGGCGCTGAGCCCGTGTCGCTGTAGGCCGTTCTGGTCTCGTGCCACCGGGCCGCTTCATTTGCTCCTCTCTTAGCGCATGTTCTCTGCGCGGGGAGGCTGAACGCATGTCCAATACAGAATTTTAAGCAATGGTTACATATGGCAACCGTTTTAAATGTTGTATTGTTGCTGAGCAAGTAACTCAATTGTCGTGCCATTCTAATATATAACTAATTCACTTACTGGGTTGTATAAGGCTGTGTATATTATATGCATATATTCAGCCTGCTGCTGATGCTGGCAGAGTGTTCAACCCCAAAGGTTGCAAGTTTAAATCCAGGATTGTGGTCACTTAGGCTTATGATCCTTTTTGTGTTTCATGAAATTAGTTGCCTTCTGTAGGAAGTCAACAATGTTTGTCCTATGTGGAGATTGACCTCTGACATTATAATATGGAATATCCACCACTCACTCAGGGCCACCACTGGAGCAGAACATTGTCCCAACGTTCATTTGAGTTAGTGCACCACTTGGTCTTCCCTTTTTTAAAGTACATTTGTGTGCAGCATTGGCAACAGACTTGCAATCCACAAACACAATCAAGTCGCTTTCCAGAAGCTATGTGGTTCCAGATGTTTCGGAATCTTCGGGGGAAGCAGCACGCACTTAATGAGAGTCAGCAGTTTCGTATTATGTCTAAAAATATAAAAAGGTTTAGAGGACCAGTGATAAGCAGACTGTCCTGGTGCTCGTCTGTGGTATTAGGAGCTTGGGCAAGGAGGATAAAAATGGAAGGCTTAAATGTTTAAATGCAAGACTGTGCGCTATGTGGCTGCTGTAGTTTTTCTCTCTCTCAAAGTATGCACTCAAGGACCACTAAATGCATTTTACTATTCTGCTTATTCGTATTGACGAAGGCGGCACCACGGAGGTGGCATTCTGTGGCTGTGGTGTTAAATAACAAAGTAGTTGGATTCTGGTCAGCACTTTTAGGGGTGTGTTAGATGCTGGTCTTGCCTTTTGGACATGAAACAAGCATAAACTGAAGCCTCGAGCCATTTGTGGAATTCACAATTTTACAGCAGAATGAGAGTCTGCGTGAAAACTATTATTTGTATTACATAAATTAGTTATGGTGCATACTCTTTGGTTCTATTCGGTAAAGTCACGTAGGTAAAAAATAAAACGTGACTTTACCGAATAGAACCAAAGAGTATGGATCCTTGCAGTCACGAAAGCTTCAAATCTAGAATAGTTATGGTGCGTTATGCATGCCAGCCTCTGAATATTTTTTGGAACGCCTACCCATTTAATTTCTTTTTTCAAATCAAGCAATCCTTCTGAAATATCTTCCCAACATTTTTCACATGGCAACATCCTTCCAGATAGCAATTAGTGACATGGAGCAATTTTTTCCTGCAAAATGAAATACCACGTCTGCATGAGAACGCTCATTTATTCAGTATCTGCCTGCGATTTCTGACAGCTCTAAGTTATATCTGACAAACTGGATTAGCTACCAACATTGTCCCTAATGACAGATAGTGCTGCAATGTTTCAATTAGGGCTCGAGCCATGACCCTTGCTACTCTGGTCGCCCAAGCCGGGCTTGGAGCCAACATCTGGAAAAGCTCTTCAGGCCTAATCTGCAGTCGCCCCCTTGCATTGCCTTAATGGCTTAATCTGCACACCAACCTGCAGCCTAGAATCCCTAAAGAAGCCGGGGGTTGATAGACAGCTGGAGCAAAAAAAAACTAAGCTAAAAGGAATTGTTAAAATGCATAAATTACGGTAACCAATCTCAGGAGTAGACAGTAAATTTACCTACTACCGATTTTGAATGTAGACCTTTTTTATTTCATTACAATAATGTGGTTGTGGTTGACAGTTCCTTTAACGCTTCAGACAGGAAAATAATAATTTTCTTAATTGGAACATGCGGTCAGCATTCTGACATGCTTGTGTAAGGCATAGAAAACAAACTTTTAATTGCACGAGACATTATAAGTAATTGATGATAATTGTTGTTTTCTTTGTTATTCCAGTAAATAATGCAGATGCATCTGGTTTTGGGAATTAATTATTGACCTCCCTAGAACAAGTTTAAATATCAATACGTGACTGCTATTTTTGACACTGACATGCTGATAGTCATTTGAAGCTCGATACAACAGTCTATGATTTGGATATTACAGTTCTGAAGAATGCTCATTGTTGAGAGTCTCAAGGTTCTCCCATTTGTTTCCTCCCTGTGCAACTCTGTTTTTCCAGGTGCAAAACGAAGGTGTACCCAGACGGGCTGCCGAAGACGAGTGTGGTAATTGTGTTCCACAACGAGGCTTGGAGCACACTGTTGCGCACAGTGCACAGCATTATTGGCCGCTCCCCACGCCACATGCTTGAGGAGATAATCCTGGTGGATGACGCCAGCGAGCGAGGTAAGCATTCGTGCATTTAACACTCTTTAGTTTAACTCGGCGGTGGTGCATTGTCTCTTTTGCGAGGAACACCCCGTGTGGGATGGCGGCGTGGCTTGGAGGCGAGAGTGCCGACTTGGCAACTGTCGCGGTCCCTGGGTTCAAATCCAGGCAGCCTCCTGCGATTAAATTGGGTCCTCAAGTTAAGTGAAATGATGGTCTCCGCCCAGTTACCGATGATTGCACCAAAGAAAATCCATCACATTAAATTTGGTTCTGCATGTCATTTGGCTAGATTTCAGCTCCCGAGAATTTAATATTTTTTCATCGTCATGCAACAAACCTTGCTCTCATGAGCAGAGCGAGCAAGAAGTACAGCCATCTGCTTTTTGTTGATCAGAAGTTACTCTGTGATATCTACTTCCGAGGGCCATTCTCCAACATGAAGGATTGCATTACACTGCGACAGATCCAACAACGCCCTTTGTCTCTTGCCGTGACGCCGGTAGCACAATCGGGATGAGATTGGGGTAATGGGGGAAAAAAATAGGGGGAATAATTTAATGAAAAGGAACACCCACGTGAATGTAAAAAACACTTTAATATGTTAGCTGCATGGGATTGTCAAATTTTATTTGGGTTATGAAACGGTAGACAATGTGTGCACAATATTGAATTTAGCCTTTAATTTCCATTTCACAGCAGATGGCATACTTTGGTAATATCTTTCCTAAATTACTGGGCAACAACAGGAACAGAACAGTCCTGTAGCTATAAATTGCCTGATAAGCACTTTGTCATCTGTTTCCGATTCTAGATGGATGTCTGTTCTTCTGCACGGTTATTAGGGGGCGCACCGTGAGACACTGCTCAAGACGTTCCGTGGCAGAGGAAGTGCTGTATTTACTCCCTCTTTTCGTGACCGGAACATATTCATGGGTCACCTTTGTGTTATATTTGTAGATTTTCTTTCCCGATAATACGTGAGAATTCAGAGTGACCCATGGTGGTCTCAATAGTATAAATGACTGTGATCGATACACACTTGTCTGGGTCATTGCCATGAGTCGCATGTGGAAGGATTTTGCCAGAGTAAATTGTAGACTGTAATTCTTTGAATCTTGACTACCCCATTGGGTTTCATTTGCTGGAGGAAAGTGAATGTGCTCGAATAAAAAAACGCGCTCTGAATGTGATACAGATTCTTCAGCACTCCTGAAAAGGTCAAGGTGACCTTTATAGTAGATTATAGTAACTGACAGTAATGATGGTGCTTTGCCAGGTTTATTATAATAGTGGATAGTTTGTGTGATTTCCTACCATTTCCACATTACAGATGTCATTTTAGAAGCGTCTGTTTATAAAATATACATTTTCTTTCCGGTTCTTGTAATGAATGGTGCACGCTTTGATTGAGATACAGTAAATCTAATAATGTATAGCAGATGCCCGTCATTATGTAAATTAACTACTCTGCTTCGCAATATTTAGCGAACATGTGTAATATTTCCAGTTGTTTATTTGCTCAGTATTTCTTTCTCCTGTTTTCATGTTGGTCATAATTAGGCTCCGATTTCTCAAAGTGTAGCGTTACATCCTGAAGCTAAGGAAGAGTGGTGTGCATGTTGAGTGTCGAGGAATGCTCAGGGCTAATCTGTCCGCTGTCGCTTTCCATCTTAATAAACAGTGTCCCTAGGCGGTGCCAGAAGGAGATAGCCTGAAGCAGCTAAGTGAACGCTGCAATTCTTCGATCAACATGCGCACAATGCACTTGTCCGTGGACATTTTGGTATCACCCTGATGAATGGATTTTCTGATAGATTCAGCCATGCTTCCTGAAGAGGCAGTGCAACGCTTAAATGGCTGCGTTTGAATTAAACATTTGTTTTAGGTGGATTGACAAGCGCTAGCTTTGATCAGAAGTCATGTCCTCTGTAGTAGTTAACTCTGCAAGTGCAACTGCTGAGAATAAACTTTTGTTAATTCTCAAATCGAATTAGTGAGCACTAAGTACGCTGCTATAAGCCTTCTGACTGGAGGCTTAACTTACTGCAAGGGGTTTGACTCGATGGGGTGAAGCATCGGAAAGAGACTGTGACGGCACACAATTCTGCTTCGTTATCTACAATTCATATTAACTTACATTTTGTTACACTTTTCTTTTCCCTTGATATAGCTGGCAGCATGTGAGTCAACCTTTTGGAAGATATATGCAATAGCTGTTATTTTATACTTGTCATTTCTAGGTTTTGATTCCAGTATGCTTAATGCTAGACCTCTGCAACACTCAGCCACTTATATAAGACTTGTCTGATGTTTTCATTCCTTATTTGTGCTGCAAAAGGGAATTGTAAGATAGTTTGTTTTTTAGTTAATGTTTGACTCTGTAATTAGTGGCGTTAAATTCGTGAAGGGAGATGGCTTGATAAACTATTTTCTTAGCTAAAAGAAGGTTTAAAAAAAAATAAATGCCATTTTATGATGGATAAAATGGTGGCGTTTTAATTCTCAGCTATATGAGCCTTTTGTAGTTTCAAGTATTTCACTACAGCCCTCCTTTTGATATTTGGCCAATACCTGTATGAATACTCTATTTGGGTGAGTGGGGAGAACCTCAGTGTCCAAATAAAACCCACAGAGGATAAGATAACACTCAAATATCAATTATACAAATGTCAGATAGATGATTCGTGAAGCTGAGATATATCTAGTGAAATGGTGTTGTTTAATGACACTTTCTGACTAAGCTTTAAAACATAAGCCTTGTCTGTCTCAATATATTTGTCTTCAACTTTTATCCAGTATAAATAAAAGTCTTGATAATTGTTTTTTTACCCTTTTATCTGGCAACAAAACTGACACCTTTTTTACAAGGAGTCATGTTTACATTGACCACAATACCTGCGGTCGGAACGCAAACAAAAAACAACAACTCTGATAATGTATGCACTGTCCTTGAAATTGATTGGTCCACACCCGAGACAGCTTTCTTTAGAGCCTCGTCTCACATGGTGTTGGACCAGAAGACGCCAAAAGGCGCACAACTCAAATACAATGCACCATCAGAGTATGAGAGCTCGGGGTAAGCATTTACACCATTGGAAACCTCATTTGCCAGTAACAAAATATGATAATTGGTTTTTTACACTTTTATCTGGCAAACAAAACTGACACCTTTTTTATCATTTTTTGTTACTGGCAAATGAGGTTTCCAATGGTGTAAATGCTTACCCCGAGCTCTCATACTCTGATGGTGCATTGTCTTTGAGTTGTGCGCCTTTTAGCGTCTTCTGGTCCAACACCATGTGAGACGAGGCTCTAAAGAAAGCTGTCTCGGGTGTGGACCAATCAGTTTCAAGGACAGTGCATACATTATCAGAGTTGTTGTTTTTTGTTTGCGTTGCGACCGCAGGTATTGTGGTCAATGTAAACATGACTCCTTGTAAAAATGGTGCCAGTTTTGTTGCCAGATAAAAGGGTAAAAAAAACAATTATCATATGTTGTTACTGGCAAATGAGGTTTCCAATGGAATAAAAGTCTTGTTAAATGTTGTTTTTGCTGTTAGTGACTTACCCCAAAAAACCCCAAGCTAAATTTATTTGAAAGGTATGCCCATAATTTGTCAACAACAAAAAAAAACAGTGCTCAATGGATATGCCCTTTGTGTTAAGACGATGACGTCACGCACTTGTGTTGTAGTGTCACCTTGCGCCGTCACACGTCGTCGCAGTGGGACATCTCACATTGCGACTCGAAAGCCTACCGTTACTGTCACTCATTAATAATTCCGAGGACTCTTTCTTGGTAGATTTTCTGAAGAGTCCGCTGGAGGAGTACGCCAGCAAGCTGCCGGTGCCGGTGCACATTGTGCGCATGGAGTCACGCTCCGGCCTTATCCGTGCCAGGCTCCGGGGGGCGGCCGTGTCGCGGGGTCAGGTGATCACGTTCCTGGATGCGCACTGTGAGTGCACTACGGGATGGCTGGAGCCGCTCCTCGCACGCATCAAGGCTGACCGGTGAGACCGCGTGAGCTTGAGCAATGACCACAGTGTACACCCCAATACCTATGAATCTTATTCATAATAAAGGATTTTGTATGTATGCATGTATGTATGTTGAACTTCTTTCGCACCATACGTAGCCAACCGTCCATAGCCAATTACATATTATTGGACGATCCGATAATGTTTTGTTACCTATGAATCTTATAAAAACAGTCTTTCTCAGGGGTGTAGATATGCCATCATCACCATTTACATAACACATATAAAGCTATAAATAGAAATGTAGAAATGGAATAAATGTAACTGATTACGAGATGTGGTGCAGTGATCGATTACATTTATACTAATGAGAACTCACATGATTAACAATAATTGCTCCTGGTATGCTTTACCTTTAGGTGATTTAGACTGGCAATACTTTCAGCATTGACAAGGGAGCATTACCATTATATTAACTGTTAAAATTGAAAAGTAATCCCTTCACCCCATTATCACACGTGTAAATCTACATAATTAAATTTACACTGTTAGGTGCTTGATATGGGATTTTCTCAGATTATATTTTCATATGCACCCCTACATATATTTTTTTTACCCACTGTCTATTTAGAAAAATTCAAGCAAATGTCACATGCCTTTTTGACATTGTATCACAGATGGCGGCATCACGGTATGAATTGTAACATTTTGCTGCAAATGAGTGATGTCTGCATCCTTAGAATTGTACGTTATAGATGATACATTTGACGTAATGCATCTCTGGTTACAAAAATGGTCATATCGTACATGGTCATTTTAGGGCACTTAACAAAAGATAATAGAAGGAAGAAAGTAGATTGCCATTGAAAAAGAGCTTCTGAGATCAATGGGTTCAACCAGAATTTAACCGACTCACCGACTGAAATGCAAGAAGATTCAAGGGGAAGACTAGAGATCAACGGCAAGACAAGAACCAGAATGGGACTTGGGAATGTCAGGACACTGCAACAGAAAGGGAGGAGCCAAGGATGCTTGTTGGTGAACTAAAACAGTACAACGTCACGAATTGTGGGACAAGTGAAACGAGGTGGATTGGCACGGGACAGGTCTGGATTAAAGGATGACGTAGGAGGCATCGGGCAGGAAATAGGGATTGTCATTTAGTAACAGGATAGTGAAGTACCGTGTCCAAATTTGCACCAGTGGGTGAGTGGATCATTACAGTCGGGCTACGGTTCAGAAATTGTCACGTAGGAGTTGTGGAAGCTTAATTCATCTTCTGAGACCACAGAAGAGGAGATGGAAAAGCAATTGATAATCCACTACAGTTGGTTTTGGGCACAGCACCCAAGCGCGGGGCCGCCATTGCCCAGGTAAGAGTTAATTATGATGAGTGGGGGGCGTTTTCTAGGGCGACGTGATGTAGGACAGCTGAATGATAATGGAACCATGAGACTTGAGTTGTGCAGCAGCAACACATTAATTATCTGTAACACAGTTGGAACAGAAGAAGTCACGCAAACTGACATGAAAATTGGCCGATGATACGACTGAAGCTCTGATTTAATTGTAACCAGCGAGCAGCATAACACATTTGTTCATAAGACGAGAGCTTACAGAGCTGCAGATATCTATTCAGACAACGAACTAGTTGTGAAGCGTGGCGGTAAGCGAACCAGAGGAGCTATTGTTTCTAGCATTGACACAGCAAAGAAAAAGATCCCCAAAGGTGTTACAACATTTTCAGGTTAGCATTGGAGGTAGATTTGCAGTGCTTGTGAACTTGACAGGAGAAGGGGACTGAGCCAAAAGCAAAAGAGACTCTGGGAATGCTTTAAGGCAGTTATAGTTGAGGCAGCAGCAGAAACACTATATCTTTAAACAATGAAGAAGTGGAAAAGTGTTTAAACTGAAGAAGCCGTAGATATGGGTGGGGAATTAATGCCAAAGTTGCATGGTGAGAACAGTAGGGAAGAACAGGGGAGGATGAGGATTACGTTGAAGGAACACAGCAAGGAAATCAGAAATGGAAGAAGTTATTACTGATGCTCAGTAGTGTTCATAATGCAGGGGGCTGTTAAATATAGCAAATGTGGCATATTACTTTTGCAGAGTGGGTTTTTGATGGGCTGTGAAAAACTACTTTGGAATAAAAAAGAGAAGTTTGAGTGTAATGAACAGGATATTTGAGGCAGGCGTTTATCTGTATTCGTGTATGGATCAGATGGCTGGACGCTAAGTAAGCAGGTAAATAAAAGTCGGCATTTGAGTGAGCTCAAGTGTCTGAGACAGATGTGTGGAATTGCATGGCAAGACAGAATAAGTAATGCAGAAGTCTGGAAGAACACATGGCAGGTGAGTGTTTTCGATGTGAGAGGCAAAAACGGTTAGCCGGGTGGGACGTGTACAGGATAGGTGGTTGGGGGGGAGCTCAAAGCCGAGACATACATTGGAGTGGTCGCCACCGTCCTAGATGGTGGGATATTGTTCAGGCAGATCTTGGAGGTCAGGTTGTCGACTGTACAGCAGCTGCGGAAAAAAACTGGCAGAGGGTAGAAAGATAGGGTGATGGTTGATTTTATCACCTGCACATGACCATGTTTAGGCCACTTGAGTCAACTTATGATTGCAAATGAGGCAATCACGGCTTTTATTTATACGTGTTCTAAGATATAATATATATTTATGTGTTCAAAGATATAAATATATACTTATATATGCTCGGGATTTAATCACAAATGTCATTTTGATTTAAAGCTTTCGTGACTGCAGTAATTCATATTCTTAGTTCTTTCGGTAAAGTCACGTTGAAGGGAAACAATAAAATAATAAAATATATAAAACAATAAAAAAATTCACGACGTTTCAACCATAACACAAACGGTCGTCATCAGGTGTGTCGGTTTGCATACATTTATTTATTTTTAAACAGCGTATTTATTTATTTATAAAAAACGTTAGTGCCACGCGCAGCGATTTGACAGTTTATTTAGAAGGACTAGTCCATCTATGTTCTGAAAAGAGGAGGGGGGAGACGAAAAATGTAATGTATGCTGTCTGAAAGCCACTGTAAGCGTGAACAATCAACTAAGACCTGAAATGGTTTATCAAATCTTTCCAATGATTGCTAAGCCAGAATCCATCTTCTCGGTTGAAATTGTCTCTGTGCTTGTATATGTGGATAGCCTCATGAACGAATCTCTCATGGTAGCCAGATGGCTTACAAAGAACCTCTGTCTTGGAAAAGTCAATGTCATGTGAGCCTACTGAATTATAACAATTATCTGCCACGGCCGAGGTGTTGGTCCTACCGTGTTTAAGGTCTGCTTTGTGTTCACGAATGCGGTCCGAGACATGGCGTTTGGTTTCTCCAGTGTAACTACTACCACAGAGGCAACTTAGTTTGTAGACACCAGGGTATTGTATGTCCGGAATCACATTTTTTACAGACGGAACCAGATCACGGATTTTATGTAATGTGTTGAAACGGACCTGGATCTTGTGTTTATTCAAGATTTTGGAGATCTTTTTTGTGATCTCCGCAATGTAGGGTAAAGTGATGGTTTTGAAAGGCTCCTCAAGAGGGTCCTTCTTCATGGTTTGAGTGATAGCTTTGCGGATTGTATAGTCGGAGTAATCATTAGCCTTAAGAGCTTGGTGTACGTGCTTGAGTTCACTGCCTATGTGTTCCTGGTCGGATATGCATTGGGCTCTATGATGCAGAGTCTTGATGAGATAATTCTTCTGTGATGGATGGTGGTGGGAATCCGGTTTCAGATAAGCATCCGTATGGGTAGCTTTCCTGTAGACAGAGTGGCTCATTGAACCATCAGGTCTCTTTTTAATTAGGACATCCAAAAAAGGTAGCTTGCCATCTTTTTCGACTTCCATGGTAAATCTGATGGCTGGGTGTATGGAATTGATGTGGTCGAAGAATTGGTCTAGAGCAGGCCGGCCATGTGGCCAGATGACAAAAGTGTCATCCACGTACCTCTTCCATAAGGTTGGGCGCAGAGTGGCAGTCTGGATGGCGTCAGTCTCAAATTTCTCTATGAAAATGTTAGCTATAACCGGAGATAGGGGGGAGCCCATTGGGGTGCCCTCAGTTTGTTTGTAGAAAGTTCCATTCCAAGTGAAGTATGTATTGGTTAAACAGTGTCTCACCAGGGGGGGTACCTCAGTGTTTAGTCCTTGATGAACCAAGTCTTCAATGATTGCGATGGTGTCAGGTACAGGAACCTTGGTGAATAAGGAAACTACACCACAACGTGACTTTACCGAAAGAACTAAGAACACAAATGTCATGTTTATCCTAAAAATCCAGAAATCAGGCCTAGCTATGAAATTTCAGACAATCCATATTAATCTGAAAATGGTAAGTGATGTCACTGACACAACGTCACTTCCACGCTTTTGCCACCAAAATGGCATTGGGTGATGTCGCTATCATTAGCACAGATAGACAGTTTCCATTAGTACGTAAAATAAATTATCCGAAAAGCCAAAAAATCTGATAGCACATCATATATACATATCCATTGTTTTTAAAATAATGTGTTAAAATAACAATTTGTCATCTATTTCATTCCCCGGCCTACTATATTTTTTATTCATTATATTACTCACTATTGTGTTCTAAGAGAGTCTTTATGCCAAGATTCTATCCTTGCACACGATGGCCTACATGAGTTAATGGGATTTTTTTTTCATAGCTGCCTGGAAGCAGATGGAACAACAGGCTTAGCATCTGCTTTGAGGAAGCCACATTTATTAATAATGCATCAGTGGATCATTACAATGGGGCCGAGATGGCAGCTCAATCCCTAAACCTAGAGGCAAAGGATGTACCACTTGGCCAGTGAGTTATCCCTTTTATGTGTAAATTAAATGTTTTAGTTATTTTGATTATAGATGGCACACATTGTCTACTCTAATTAGCAAAAGACATCATGTAAAGATGCCTTGTGACATGCAGAGTCCTGTGTGTTTTCTCCAGTAGATGTTTCTGTTATATATATAGTGCTCCCATGGCACCATCTTAAAATTTCTAAAGACTTTATTTCCCTTTAAAAAATGTTCAAAGGCTATTACAAATGTGCTGACTTGCCTGTAGCAGATATGGAAAACTCGCGGTTTGTTTGTTTGTTTGTTTTTTATACAGAGTTTTGTCTTCTCTTCTGCATACAATAATTTATCTCTTTTATATTATTCTAACCAAAATAATAATGTGTAATTTAATCCCTCGCTCCGTTCATCATCATTCATTGTCTGTCCACTGCTGGATTAAGGCCTCCGCATGCTATCACCATCTCTCACAGTCCATCACTGCTATCATCCATCCAACTCCTATGAATAAACTGATCTCATCACTCCATCTCCACGGTGAACTTCCTATTGGACGCATTCTCTCTTTTGGCTGCCATTCCGTCTTCAATCTTGTCCATCGTTAATATGGCATCTCTGATTTTGTGTCTGTTCCCTCATATGTGGGTTCCTTTTTGTCCCTTGGTGTAATTCAAAGCTGCATTTCCCCATGCTTTTTTCTGCACTTTGCAGATTTTTTTCTGTTAACTTTGTCAATGTCTTTTTTATGATTTGTGCCGTATTTGGCCGTATGCGCTTATTGAAAACGTAATTCTTCGGACACATTGGTATCTCATTTTCATGATCATGTTAAACTTTACAAAGGGACTCCACCCTGCTGTCATTTTGATCCCAATTCTCCTTCAACAGTTTTTTTTTTAATTTGTTTAACAAAATACCCCCAAAATTCCTTTTTTTTATCCTCGTGCAGAAAAAAAATCACTCCTCAATTTCACTGATCACAACCCCTCTCTTTACAAGGCCTCATGATTCATGTCATCTGTTTTCTTGTCCAGTATACCAAGCTACAAAAGTATATTGATTAATTATGAATCTGATTGGATTGTGTCGTCTTGTAAGCCAGAATGTAATACATGCATAATAAACACGTTAAATGAATCGATAGCGTTGAACCAGATTTAAAAAATCTCGTCTTTGATCTTGCTGTTCTCGTTGCTCACTGGATCTGTGTCCTTGTCATTGCAGGAAAAATGTGGTATGTCCCATTATTGATGTGATCAGCGATGAGACATTTGAGTATCTTGCTGGCTCTGACATGACCTATGGTGGATTCAACTGGAAACTGAACTTCCGCTGGTACCCAGTGCCCCAGAGTGAGATGGACCGACGGAAAGGAGACCGGACAATACCTGTCAGGTAATCTCGAGATTGTATTGTACTGCATAAGAGATTAAATAGAGTGGTGGCTTTTGTGCCAGTTCACATATTTTATGTTTGAACAAAACAATATTGACAGTTTTCACACTCATGTGGAGCCTCTATTTCATCCTTTATAATATCTGTGGACCCTAATTAGGCTTTTTTTTATCTACGTGATTTTACCGAAAGAGCCAAAGAGCATGGATTCCTGCAGTCACGAAAGCTTCAAATCAAGACCTAATTATGGTGTTTAACTGTTTTACTTCATATTGGCATTGTGTATTTTAATGGAGTTTCATGTTGTTATAAAAAAAAATGCATTACATAATTACATAAAATCCAATGGCTCGATCGTGAAAGATAAAGAACCATCAGCCTGTTCACAGAAGTATGTAATCATTTGTGTGGCTGCAGACAATAAATGACGCTTTAACATCGTTTCATGTGAGATAGAGTGACGTTTTGGTGCATTTGGCAGGTCACCTACAATGGCAGGAGGACTGTTTGCCATCGATCGTGACTACTTTCAAGAGATTGGCACATATGATGCCGGCATGGACATTTGGGGTGGAGAGAACCTGGAAATGTCATTTCGGGTCAGTGACTGCTGCACTCACGATACCCTCTGCCTTTAACAACTTGTGTCTGTCGATACACGATGCCAATATGAAGTAAAACAATTAAACAGCGTGGGACCTAAGCTGAGTCTCTATTATATTATGGACCCTTTCGACACATTTGGGTCTCCATATTAGCCGCCTATTCATTAGCTCCATACAGGGATAATGGATAACAACCTGGTCCTAGGACATGTAATTGTACATGTAAAAACCAGTATAGTTGTGCGACCTGATATAATAATAGAACGCTAAGGTGAATACAATTATATAACTATATGTTGAAGGCAGTCATTTAGTGAAGACTGCTAAGGAGGCGTAGCAATGTTGTATGGGCAGTGGACAGTTCAGGGCCAACAGTGTTACGTTGACATTTGTATCTTTCCCACTCCTGTTGTTTCTCTGAGCATCGCTGCCTCTGGTACATATCGTGGCATTGACCTGGTGATGAGTGGTGCTTACTTTCCCATGTAGTTTGTCTCTGCAAATGCAGGCCTTGCGTATCGAGATGGAATTACAGCGCTAGTCATGCATGAATATGTCTCAGTAGAGGTCACCATTACAAAACTGTACTTGAACCAGGAAAAGAAATGTCTTCATTAAACATCTGGTTTTGTGTTGGTCAATTAGCATTGCTTGGCATTTTCATGCTTTGCCTTGTGCATAAGAGTAATCCATTACTTATTTATTTATTATTATTTTGACTTAAAGGACGGATAAATAAGTCATCAGGAGAGCATATGCAGTATTTTTTTGTCATACATGCATGAATAACAGATGAGTTAACACATTCCATTTCACACTTCAGATTAAGACAGTCATCACCACTGTCCTTTCATTTTGTAGATTTTTGGTCAGACAAGCGTGAGCCACGTGTATTTATTTCAGCACGTCTTCTTGTGTAAGCCAGTTGGTTCTTGCACACGAGGAATAATGCTTTTTTAATAGATTGCAAACATGCAAGTAGTATTCTAATACTTAAATTATACGTAGATAATGCAGTAGTCGGAATTACACAGTCGTTTGTATTTTAAGCTTGGAATGATTACAGTAATGTAATTTAAGCTCACAGGGCTATACTCTCAGCTCACATTTCTATGAAATGCTATGTCTAGATGCTCTTGACCTTTGCATTGCAGTGTGAGGTTTGGTTTCTTTCTTTTTCCTTACACAGACATGAGTACAATTGTAATCTGAAAAAAATATATAACATCACACATTGTATCTTTTATTTTGATGGTTGCATCCTATTCTGTTTGTTCCAGTATTGCAGTCTAATTTGGATAATTTTATTAATTCATATAATCACCTCAAATTTCCCGCACCTCCGATTAGCACAGTTGGCTATGTACCGTGCGAAAGAAGTTCACCATACCTACACTATTGGTGCCATGTACATGCATACAAAGCACCATTGCTTATGATGGTATTATTTGTATGGTCAGTATTTTAGAATGTATTTAAAATTATAATTTTAGCGATTAGCAATGGCTCATTGAGCAGCATCTGTAAACTGAGCATTTCAGTGATGCTCATTTAATAAACTGACTTGCTAAGTTACAGAAAATATATTCTTGGTTCTTTCGGTAAAGTCACGTAGAAGAGAAAAATACTTTACTTTACTGACAGAACCAAGAATATGAATCCCTGCAGTCACGAAAGCTTTAAATCAAAATTTTACAGAAAACATTTAATGCATTCTTACAAAAAATGTATAACAAATTATTTGCTCCCAGCAATTCAAGTCCGTACAGTATGTCCTATTTTGAAGATTATTAAATATTTTTTGCAGTCTCATTATTTTTTTCATAGTTTCATGTTACATTTACTTCCCAAAACGTATTTAGATTTTAAGTCCATGTGTAATGACAGGGTGACACCTGTTGGCCGGAAAGAGAATTACGGGTACGGGCACGGTTAAGTACCAACCAATCAGAGAAGGAGGTGTGTCTGGGGCAAAGGTAACAGGTGGGGCTAGCCGAGATACATCGGGAACCTGCTCGAAGGTTCCACGAGAGGGCGTGGCTGGAGGCGGGGCCTAGCCACGCCGGGGGGGGGGATATACAGTGAGGGAAAAAAGTATTTGATCCCCTGCTGATTTTGTACGTTTTCCCACTGACAAAGAAATGATCAGTCTATAATTTTAATGGTAGGTTTATTTGAACAGTGAGAGACAGAATAACAACAAAAAAATCCAGAAAAATGCATGTCAAAAATGTTATAAATTGATTTGCATTTTAATGAGGGAAATAAGTATTTGACCCCTCTGCAAAACATGACTTAGTACTTGGTGGCAAAACTCTTGTTGGCAATCACAGAGGTCAGACGTTTCTTGTAGTTGGCCACCAGGTTTGCACACATCTCAGGAGGGATTTTGTCCCACTCCTCTTTGCAGATCTTCTCCAAGTCATTAAGGTTTCGAGGCTGATGTTTGGAAACTCGAACCTTCAGCTCCATCCACAGATTTTCTATGGGATTAAGGTCTGGAGACTGGCTAGGCCACTCCAGGACCTTAATGTGCTTCTTCTTGAGCCACTGCTTTGTTGCCTTGGCTGTGTGTTTTGGGTCATTGTCATGCTGGACATCCATCCACGACCTATTTTCAATGCCCTGGCTGAGGGAAGGAGGTTCTCACCCAAGGTTTGACGGTACATGGTCCTGTCCATCGTCCCTTTGATGCGGTGAAGTTGTCCTGTCCCCTTAGCAGAAAAACACCCCCAAAGCATAATGTTTCCACCTCCATGTTTGACGGTGGGGATGGTGTTCTTGGGGTCATAGGCAGCATTCCTCCTCCTTCAGACACGGCGTGTTGAGTTGATGCCAAAGAGCTCCATTTTGGTCTCATCTGACCACAACACTTTCACCCAGTTGTCCTCTGAATCATTCAGATGTTCATTGGCAAACTTCAGACAGGCATGTATATGTGCTTTCTTGAGCAGGGGGACCTTGCGGGCGCTGCAGGATTTCAGTCCTTCACGGCGTAGTGTGTTACCAATTGTTTTCTTGGTGACTGTGGTCCCAGCTGCCTTGAGATCATTGACAAGATCCTCCCGTGTAGTTCTGGGCTGATTCCTCACCGTTCTCATGATCATTGCAACTCCACGAGGTGAGATCTTGCATGGAGCCCCAGGCTGAGGGAGATTGACAGTTCTTTTGTGTTTCTTCCATTTGCGAATAATCGCACCAACTGTTGTCACCTTTTCACCAAGCTGCTTGGCAATGGTCTTGTAGCCCATTCCAGCCTTGTGTAGGTCTACAATCTTGTCCCTGACATCCTTGGAGAGCTCTTTGGTCTTGGCCATGGTGGAGAGTTTGTAATCTGATTGATTGATTGCTTCTGTGGACAGGTGTCTTTTATACAGGTAACAAGCTGAGATTAGGAGCACTCCCTTTAAGAGTGTGCTCCTAATCTCAGCTCGTTACCTGTATAAAAGACACCTGGGAGCCAGAAATCTTTCTGATTGAGAGGGGGTCAAATACTTATTTCCCTCATTAAAATTCAAATCAATTTATAACATTTTTGACATGCGTTTTTCTGGATTTTGTTGTTATTCTGTCTCTCACTTCATATAAACCTACCATTAAAATTATAGACTGATCATTTCTTTGTCAGTGGGCAAACGTACAAAATCAGCAGAGAATCAAATACTTTTTTCCCCTCACTGTAAGGGGGAGCAGGCTCAGGGCTCGTGTGTGGGGTCCTGGGTCCTGGCTCTGTTGCTGCTCGCCAACATCTCTCTCCCTCGTCCTGCCACGTGGAAGATCCCCTGCTTGGTTTCCATCGCCGTCATCGTCACGCCGCCAGCCAGCGGCATAGCCGAGTGAGGGCGGTGGGACCACGCCGAGTCATCGGCTGTGTGTGTAGCTAGTAGAGGTGTTAATGCCTAGAGTTATACTCAGTGTGAGGAAGAGCAAGTATTGGCCTGTGTTGTGCCCAGTTTAAGTAATAAAGAAGACGTACCCTCTACACGACGTGTCATGGAAGTCGCTCATTACACATGCGTATGTGGGAGGGTCATAACCAATCTCATTGTATATCAAAAGACTGCGGCATTGTGGCGTAATGCAACAGCATTGCTGTACGTATAGTGTATTAAAAACGAATGTGGCTCGGGTGTTATCACCATGGCAGTAGAGAAAATATCGCTGCTTGCCATGTTGCATACGACCACACCAATTTGTTCCTTTTCACTTTCCATAATGTGGTCTGCAGTAACATTATTACGAGCGCTAATTAATGTAACTGTTCATATGAGTATCGGTACTACAAGGAACTGTCAATTTATCTCATGTTTAAAGTGTTGGTGCGCGTGTTTTTGTTTGTGTTGGAATTGCGTGTATGCTGTGCAATTTAGGTCACATAATGAGAACAGAAATGTTCCAGTTGCTTTGATGTATGTGATTGAGATTTTCTAATGCCATTGTATCAGAAAAATTATCCACCTTTCAATCGTATGCATTTGGAAGCTATAACATTTGCACTGAATTACAGTCTAGGGATAATTATTGTATTTTTTTCATGTGGAACTCTTCAGATAGATAGTTCTGTGGCAGAGCTCTCGATTTGCAAGTAATCGCAGGTCTCCTTTAAAAAAGGGATTTCTTGTCTCAATGAGCTCTTGCGTGATTATAAGTAATCAAGTATTACTATCTCTCTGAAATCAGGTTGCAAGTCCAAATCCCAAATGTGGGTTGTCTCAGCCCATCATCCCTTTCCACGTTTGATAAAGTGGAGATTTGGATTGTGGCACTGTAATCCCACGCCAATCACGGGGATTAGGTTCCTGGAAAAGGCCGTGGTAGCGCAAATCTGCGGTTGGTAAAGTACATGACCTATGTAAAATAGGGAGTTATGGGAACCACAGCTGCGGTTAGACTCATCATAGCTTAACTAAGTCGCCTGTTTCTTTATTAAACACCGAATAAAATAAAATGCAATACATTACACAATTACATAATATAGCATAAACATTGAAGTAACTTTACATACCTTTGCTATTGAGGGTAGAAGTCCATGATAATGCCGATGGTGACAATCACAATGAGATGATGGGGGAAGGGGTGGTTAAAAGGAGGAGGGGCTCAGCCCACCCTCCCCTCTTCCTCCCGGTCATCAATGACAGATGAGTGGGCAGACGAGGAGGCAGGCACAGTGGGGCTGCTGGCTGGATTGCTGGTGCTGGTGGCTGGACTGGTGGTGCTGATTCTTTTAAAAAGTGAGGATTAATTGGCTGGTGCATTATTTGTACGTCCCCGGTACCCCTAGACCGTGTTATTATGCGACGCGGTCTATGCGACGCTAGAATCACAACAAAACAGACGGACAGCTGATGAGCTATGACGCCGCTTCACGAATGGCGTGGTGGCACGGAGGCGAACCTTGGCCCTGCAACATTTGTAAATGCGTGTTGCGCACCCGTGGTCGCTCGTGGACTTTCCAGGCCGTGATTGGTAAATCGGTCAATAAATAATCAACCATATGTATGTGAATTCCACGGTTGGAAAGTCCACAGTTGGTGAGGGATTGCTGTAGTTCATCAGCCTTCCCCATGGGGATCATAATTTCCACTCATGGCTCAGAGTTGCCAACCAATATGAGGGTTACCCCCCCCCACTGCTTCTTTGAGCGTGGAGAGACAATTTGACTTGACTTTGGAATACATACTCATTGCATTGTATCTTGATTTGAAGCTTTCGTGACTGCAGGAATCCATACTCTTTGGTTCTTTTGGTAAAGTCACGTAGGTATAAAATAAAATAAATCATGACGTTTCAGGCACAATACAAGCGTTCGTCATCAGGTGGGAAAGCATGGCCTGCTGCTGAGGCAGACAGTTTTAAAAGGTTTGGAATGGGTGTAGCCCAAGGGTCATAAAGAAGTGGCCGGGGCTAGTGATGTTAATGTGAGAAATTAGCGTGATGTTAATGTGAGAAATTAGCGTGTAACTGTAAGATAGGAAATCGGCCTCCTCGACGAGGGCACGGAAGTGGCTATGTTATTGTGGGAGATTAGCATGATGTTAATGTAAAATCGAAGAGTGGCGCAATCCAAAGGCATGAGTGCAACCCAACGGGTGCAATCCAAAGGGCATGTGAGTATGAGAGTGCAATCCAAAGGACATGTGAGCATGAGAGTGCAATCCAAAGGCATGAGAGTGCAATGCAAAGGACATGTGAGCATGAGAGATCTAAGGGAGAGGCATAGAGAGAGAGGGACACACAGAGAGTCGGAAATAACAGCTGACATAGGCAGGTAGGATGGAAACACCACAGTCAGTTAAGACTTTACCTGGTTAATAACGTCCTTCCAGTGATTGCTCAGTTTGTACCCATCCTCTCGGTTGACGTTGTGTCTGTGTTTATATATCTGGATCTCTTCATGAACAAATCTCTGAAGGTAGCCGGTAGGTTGGCAGAGTACCTCCGTCTTGGGAAAATCTATTTCGTGTGAGCCCACAGCGTTAAAACAATGATACGACATGTCTCGGACCGCGTTCGTGAACACAAGGCAGATCTGAAACACGGTAGGACCAATACCTCTGCCGTTGCCGATCATTGTTTTAACGCTGTGGGCTCACACAAAATTGATTTTTCCAAGACGGAGGTACTCTGCAAACCTACCGGCTACCTTCAGAGATTTGTTCATGAAGCCATCCAAATATATAAACACAGACACAACTTCAACCGAGAGGATGGGTACAAACTGAGCAATCACTGGAAGGACGTTATTAACCAGGTAAAGTCTTTAACTGACTGTGATGTTTCCATCCTACCTGCCTATGTCAGCTGTTATTTCCGACTCTGTCTCTCTCTCTCTCTCTATGCCTCTCTCTTAGATCTCTCATGCTCACATGTCCTTTGGATTGCACTCTCATACTCACATGCCCTTTGGATTGCACCCGTTGGGTTGCACTCATGCCTTTGGATTGCACCACTCTTCGATTTTACATTAACATCATGCTAATCTCCCACATAAACATAGCCACTTCCGTGCCCTCTTCGAGGAGGCCGCTCTCCTATCTTACAGTTACATGCTAATTTCTCACATTAACATCACTAGTCCCGGCCACTTCTTTATGACCCTTGGGCTACACCCATTCCAAACCTTTTAAAACAGTCTGCCTCAGCAGCAGACCATCGCTTTCCCACCTGATGACGGACACTTTTGTTGTGCCCGAAACGTCGTGATTTATTTTATTTTATACCTACGTTACTTTACCGAAAGAACCAAAGAGTATAATTGCATTGTATTAATGCAATAGATGTATCAATCTTATGAATTGTCACGATTTTGGGTTTTCTATCTCGTATTTTTTCGTGTGTTATTTCATTTGTACGATTTTGCTTGCATTCGGGTATATGTAGCGCACGCATATAATTTGCACAAATTGTAAATAAGTAATTCTCACACAGTTCAATGCATGCGATCATACACGTGAAATCAATAAACGTGTGCATCATTACATGTGCAATGTGCACGCAGTCATTAGTGCATACGTGCTTTAGTTTGTTGAAAATGTGTGGTGTTTCATAAACATTTCCCTGCATCAAATATTGCGGCTGTTAGACACATTAAATATTTTCGTTGATATTCCACGCTCATTCATTCATCACGCATAGCAAAGGACCGTTGTGCCAAACGTGTGACCTCTTGCGACAGCATTCGCATAAACTGCTATTGCTGCCGTACCTGTGTCTCGAGTGATTTTTTTGATCCACGTATCACGGGGGCGACCACGGGGGCGGCGCCATTCCTTTGAGGGTCGCAGTCCACTTCGAATGTCAACCGCCAACTGAAGTGTGCAAATTGCTGGAGTTTGTGCATCAAGATGGGGCGACGCGTCCAAAAAGTCACAGCCGTTTTGCTCGAACTAAGCTCTCGATCGCTAGGAGACCAGTTGTAGATGCAATGGTGACATTTATGATGAAGTTGATATTCCACAGCTGTGATACAACAATCGTCATTTCAAGTGTAGGTTTTAAATGTGTTTTTAAATGTGTTTCCCCCCCCCCCCCATGTGCTAAACGGCGCATACGAGCAGATCTGGCAGTGCGGTGGGACACTGGAGATTGTTACCTGTTCCCACGTGGGCCACGTGTTCCGCAAGGCGACACCGTACACGTTCCCCGGAGGCACGGGACAAGTCATCAACAAGAACAACCGCAGGCTCGCCGAAGTGTGGATGGACAACTTTAAAGACTTCTTTTACATCATCTCGCCAGGTTTGTCAGGAATCTCAAGTGCTTGGCGTGTGAGCCGCTTGTGTGATGCAAAATTATCGTGAGTTCTGGTGGATTGTGAATAATTAAATTTACATGAATTGTATTTCCCTTTCTGAAAATTAAGTAGCATTAATCCATCGACCCTATTTGTTCCTGGTCAACCTTCAATGATTGTCCTCGGGTCGGCAATCTGTGGCTCTGGAGCCGAATGCGGCTCTTTAAGGACTGCTTCATGACGTTATTTCTTAAGGATTGTCTCGTCATCATGTGCATTGCAGCTCTTGAAATCTTGAGGTTTTTTTTACAGAATTCGAACAAAAATGGCTCTTATTATTTTTTCCCATTGTGTGAATTTTTGTTGCACTTGGCTTTTTCTTTGCTCATATTTACCTTGAACCCCACTTGGCAGCATTCTTTTTAAAGTTCTTAAGTAATTTTATGTAATTAACTTCCATTGGTTGTTGCAATGACCGGGTCACTAGAAATTGAGATGGGTAATACCTTATTTATGTTTATGACTTTATTTCTCCAAAACAATTTTGGCAAAATGTATTCTAGTGTTGCTGTTAAAAGCCTTGGTGAGATAAAATCGCATTTTTTTACTTTTCATATTTCTATTTTATTAAGTTATGCAACCTCAGTGACGAAGTTCCATCTTTATATATGGTTTTGATTATTTGTGTGTATTTTCTTTAAGCCTTGGTTTGTGATAGCATGGATGATGGCATAATTAATGATGATGGCATAATCAAAACCTTCTTCATAGTTAAATGCTATTTGATATTCTTTAATCTTTCTGAAACCTGATTTGATGGTAAGTACGTGATCAATAGTAGAGTAAACCTTTCCTCAATCTGGGTTGCTCACATGGTCATTTGGCCATACATTATCCATTGTTCTATTCCCAGTGATCTTTATTAAAAATGCATATAGATACAATACGAGCCTAATGGGTCTATACTTCTTCGAATCAGTTTTGAAGAATGACTTGGGCATCATTTCACAATTGAGGAATTTATGTGTAAACATTCAGTAAATTGGCCTCACTGAATTAGTTAAAAAAAATTGGTCCCGCTTGTTTCACGATGTATGCAGCTATACCATCTCATTCTGGAGCTTTCCTTTTCTGAAAAATGCTGTGGCTCTTGGGATATGTGTTAAGGGCTCCCATTTGTGAACTACCAATTATGAACATCCTTATTTCTGTTTTCATGCTTCCATTGGTTGCATTGACATTTTTATTAATTTTTATTTCGTGGTGAAATAAAGTGGTGGACGAGAATAGGTCCGAGTGCTTTTGGCAAAACTGAACTTAATGATGAAAATCAAAATACCCATGTGCCTTAACAAGAACATATTTAATCAGTGCCTCTTACCTCCTGTTACATAGTTAGGAAACATTTGACAAAATATTTTGAATGAAAGTTGAAAAGTGTGCAAATAAGCGTGACGCACATGTTGGAAATTTCACTGAGACGCAAAGAGAAGAACACACGGATCGGAGAACAATCAGAAGTTAGATCCATCACTTTGACCATTAATAATTAGACTTGGCAGAACAAATCACGAGATGAAATTATGGCCAGTGGTTGAGACGAACAAACCAAGTGGCAACCAAGGGACGGAACGCACCGGATAATACGCCCGCCGTAGAGATGAATCGAGAAGATGGCTCGTGTGCAGGCGCGAGATGGATTGTTGCATTGCAAGACCGTGAGGGATGGCGATGGCTTACGGAGACCTTCATCCAGCCGTGGATCGATCATTGATGACGATGGTGATGAATTAATCTACCAATTTAACTTCTGGATCAATGTATTCCAATAGCTTTTGTTAAACAACGCAAACCCTGGATTGGTTTTGACGGTATCACGTCATCAGCAAGTTCTGGCCTATTAAATAAATATTACCTAGTGGCTTGATATTATTGGCAAGAGCCATCCATGAAAAATGTTGACCTCAAAATTGTTTTGCAGAAGAGTAAATCCTAATGGAATTCTTGGGATATACTTCTCATACTCATTTCGTTTTTTTTATGTCTGGGCTCTTTAAAGAGCATCAGTGTCTAATGTGTTTCCAAATTAATCTTTGTTGTGTGAAATTTGTTTAGGAAACTTGTCCTTTAAGCTTTACGGGGTTTTTTTGTACCTGCAATCTCCTGGGTGTGCAGCAACATAAAAATCAAAACCACTTTGTGCAAACTCATTCGTGGCATTTTCCACTGCTGTATATCACACGTAAGGCATCAGTGGCTTTCAGCATTGTGAATGGTGACTAATGAGTGCCCATGTCTTCTTCATTTACTTTTATACTTGAAAGGTATACGAGTATATAATTTTAAAATGTGTTAGTTTTATTCGTGATGTTCTTTATATCAGAGGTATCAACTAATGTATTTCATTTGTATTATGTCTAATAAACTTAATTGGAAGTTGCAAAGGACACAAAAACAGTTGTCAGGTCGAGATATCAATCTTGAAAAGTGTTCACGTAATTTTATTCTTAAGGAATTTAGGAGCAGGAATGTTGCTGGAGATCTTTCCAGGAAGAGGAAGAGGAGCCACGGGAAGGCAGCCTACTCTTCACATGCTTTTAAGGCAAATAGGCGAAGAGGAAAGGATCTCCATCTTCCTTATCCCAGTCATCTTCTGCATCTTGTCCCTCTTTATCAACAGATAAAGGCCATTCCCCAAGGGAGGAGGAGGATCTTTTTTCAATTTTAACATTGAAAATCAGAGATACATTAAGGGTTGGCCATTGTATGCCAGAATCTCACTTCATATTTGAAAAGAATCCTGCAAATTACTCAATTAGAACTACACCTAGCAATCATGACTCAATACTGGCAGACTAATGCCCACTTGCAAGCTAGCGTTGAGTCACCATGTGCCGCCACACAAGGACAGCTGCTCCTGTGCTCCTTCGGTTGGTTGAGATGAAATGTCAGGAGATTGGAGAAGCTGAGGCATTTAAGCACCCCGTAATTTAAAATATCATAATAAAGAAAATACAAAGACATTGGTGTTTAAATGAGAAAGGGGCCTCAGGGTCTACATAATTATTCTTTGACCAGCATATGGTGGATCCTATTAAACATGCATGGGAGAAGCCAGCTACCACACAAGCCTTCGGTTGCACGATGATTTTTTGCTTGCTTCTACAGCACAATAATGGATAAGTCCTTGGACAGAAAAGTGAGGCAATCATTCAGCAGTAGCGTTGTCAATGTGGGAAGGTGTGTACATGGCACACGCCAGGTAGTTATCCCAGAAGGTACCATGCACACTCCATGGAGCCAGTTTGCATAGAGTGAATGGTTGGTTTCCTGCAGTCACACGCTCATTTTTATGGTGGTCTAACAAGCCATGTCATCTACTTTAAGTGGACATTAAACACTCCGGGACATCATTTGCAAGAGCAGAATATTGTGAGCCAGCCAATATTTTAGAATTATGCGTTAAGAAAATAAATAATTGTTCCTCTTTGCAATGGTCATCAATATCGCCCTTTCAAAAAGAGAATATTTTACCTCAAAAGGTTCTTACCTGGTTAATTTAGTTGAGTGTTTAGCTAATTTGAAGCTGAAAATTTAACATGATGTTGCTGCATGTGGTGTAATTGCTCTGTATAGGGGTGACCAAAGTGGAGTATGGTGACGTCTCGCAGAGGAAGGCCCTACGCGATCGCCTGAAGTGCAAGCCATTCTCCTGGTTCCTGGAGAATGTATACCCCAACTCCCAGATCCCCAGGCATTACTACTCACTGGGCGAGGTGGGTAAACCAAGCGCGTGCTGCCTTTCCTCAACCGCCTCTTAAAGTAAAAGCACGTTCTAATCCTGAGAGCAGAATGCACTCAGAAAATTATATTCTCAAGGCGAGGCTCATCTGTCAATCCCATTTTTATATTTTTCAAATTCGCGGAAGCTACTTTTATTTTTGCTGTTAAGTTGGTATAGTGGCAGGCTGCATTTTCCCTTGCAATTAAAAAATACGTTAACATCCCCCAGGACCACATGAGCAATTGAAGCACTCCCCCCCCCCCCCCCCTTATTCTTCTTGGCAGACAATACGGCCATTGAGATTGCTCCAAGGACAAGAGTAAATCTGTCCTGAGATGTTAGCAGTTGATTACACCACCATTATATCTCCCTGGAGGTGTTAGTAAATGAGGCTTTCAATATAGCCAGATATCCTCGGTCTGGGCTTTACAGCTGTCCCTCTGGGAAGAGAGCTGGTATGTGTTTTATCCCTTTTGCAGTACATGTCTGCAATGTTTGGTGGCCCAGTGTTCTCCGTGTGTACACCAGGAAAACCGGTACAAGAGTTTCCCTTTATTAAAGCACGATGAATGTGCATGTTTTTTCTTAAAATAGTGTCGTGCATACATATAATAAATCTTACATTGTTATGTATGTGTAAAATAAGTCATTCAACAGAGTTGGATTTTGATGAAGTCAGTTGAACTTCAGCACAGCAAATATCAACAATATTTACAATTCATCGACGATGATGTCTCTTTAACAAGGCCGTTTGTTATTACAGTAGATGGGAGCACCACTTTACTAGTAGTGGCTGTTATTTAACTGAAGCTCTCATTGGAGTCAGCGTTTGCTTTATTATTAGGGAGATTTTCACTTTTGGATCTCTTCGTAGCATTGCAAAATTTATTATTTTAAAACAGTGACAACAGCATGGGTTGATTTTTTCACCTTCATTATTACGTACAGTTTGTAATAGCCACTTTGTTGCTTTGCTGTGCAGATGGTTGCAAAATTAAGTTACATTTGAAAGAGTTGCACAAGAGCTTATTATTAATTACTTCTATTCAAATTATTTTGATGAGTTTAGTCCCCCAAGCTCAAACCTTCAGATTGCTCAAGCCTTGCTGTGCATGTGGGTTTGTGTTCGGTTTTTATCTTTTTATATGTGCTTTTTGATGTACATATATCTTTTCTAGTCATGATAATTTAGCGAGTTATGCAAAATTTATCCTGAGTGCTAGCATGGTCATTTTATGCATTATCTTCGTAAAGTTTTACTATTTAAGGCTCCGATCCAAATATCAAGAAGAATGTTCCAGTTCAGTTCCAGTTCCATTTATTTGGTATAGCCCTGTGAGCCATTTGGCTCTTGAATCGGGTGCAACCGCAACAAACAAAAACATGAACAAGAAAACATCTTAAAGTGACTATGTGACTGTGCAAATAGAAAATCCAGGAAAAAAACATCAAAATATTCCTGAAAAAGCACCGTACACTAATGCTGTGTGCAAAAATCCCAGTGGGATGCAAGTCAAACAACAAGTGGCATGAATCTTCTTGGTTCTTTCGGTAAAGTCACGTAAATAAAACATAATAAAATAAAATTATTATGTTTTATTTTTAGTATTTTATTTCCATTCTACGTGACTTTACCGAAAGAACCAAGAAGATGAATCCCTGCAGTCACGAAAGCTTTAAATCGAAAAGTGGCATGAAGTTTTTTTTTACAGTATAAAAATTGCAGGCGGGAGAGTGGTTACGAGACAAAAAAGAGCCGAGTATTTCATGTATAATAAACGCCGAGTGAAGCATGTTATTTGTGAGCAGTAGAGTGGCAAGGACGAAGTGAGGGTGATTACATGTGTAGTGTACTAATTCAGAGACACTAGTAGGAGGCGTTATCCCTCTTGTTTATTCCGGCTCTCACAGCCATAGGGGATAACTCCATACCGGGTCGGGACAGCCAACATGCTTCCAGACCCACAGCTTGAAGAGGCGAAGACCACGACGACAGCAGCATGACGAGTTCCATTTCTGATGGCAGCCGGCCCCGACTGTGAGTCGGAGCTCGCCTTTTATTCTCCCCAGCATGGCCAGGCTCCGCTCTCGGCCACGCACCCTTCTGGATCTCCCAGATGGTTCCGGGCTTGGCCCACGGGTCCAACTGGTAGAACGGTCTGCTACCCCTAATTCCATTGTCTACTAATCTCCCAGCGCCACGCGTTACATGGACTCATTCAATATCACTACATGACCCCCCCCCCCATGAAAAAACACAGCCGTCCCGGCTGACCTTTATACGTTGCATAGCGGGATGACAAACACAACAATATCCACGCAACATTCACAATGCATGGCTACAATCCATCCCCCAAAGTAACAGCAACCCAAAGAGGAGTAGGAGTGGTCATCTGAACCGAACCGTCTTGGAACGGGTCCTTGTCGCCGGCCCCTCGTATGGGCCCAGCCACGGGTCCTCCGGGGACCCCGGGGGTAACCCGAGGATGGCCCAATGGGCACGGTCCCTCCTGGGACGAAGATGGAGGAAAAGAAGAAGCGGGTGGCGGTCGTCCCGTCCACCCTGATCCGCCTGTGGGTGGTGCCGCCGGCGGTTCCATGGGCGTCAGGCCCTGGGATGCTGCAGATGGAGGAACAACAATCACCATTCACCACTAAGTGGTAGTGAAGTCATTACGACGCTTTTGCCATGCTATGTGTAGTTTGAGGCCACATGAAGTGGCGAACGCCCGCTGGCACAAGTTCACGGGGCAGACCCAGGTGCCATGGGTCGACTGACTGAGACGACTAACTGATGCACCACCTGTGCCCCCTACTGTGCCAACTTGCTGTGCTTTAGTCACCTGGCGCTCCGCTCGTTGTTGTGAGTGTCGCTCCTCTGCCCTCAGTTGTTGTTGGAGGGCGACTGCCTCCAACTGCCCAGTAGCGTCTTTAACGAGCCTCCTCCACAGAGGCCGATCTTGACACTGCTGGTACTAGTCATCGGCAAGTCCACTCAGCTCCACATCCTCCTGTACCACATCACTCCATCTCTTCTCTAGCCCGTGCCACGCCCGTTTAGCCCCCTCGATCCGGACAAACAAAAGCTGTTTAGGCATGCGGTGGGTGGGCATGCGGGCTACATTACCCAGCAAACGCAGCCTTGCCTGCTGGAGGAGCTCACCGATGGGACTTTGTCCAGATCTTTCGAAGATTTGTGAGCTCCTCACACAATCCAGCCTGGTTAAAACCAGGATGGATCGTAGGCAGGCCAGCCTAAATGTTTCTAACCAGTGAAGATGTTCCATTAGGGGGGGTCCACGTTTCGCAAGCATAGAGAAGAGAGGGAATGACTGTGGCCGAGAACACCTGAAGCTTCGTGTGGAGCGACAGACCAGGTAGCTTCCACACAGCGTTACACAACCGATGAAAAGATAATGCCGCTCGACTGATTCGGAGTGAGACCTCTGCTGTCAAACCGGAACCGGTCATAAGCACATTGCCCAGGTATGGGAAACTCTCCACTCTCTCCACAACTGCCCCATCACCAATTGGGAGTTGTAGAGGTGGAGTGTCCAATGGTACAAAATACCCAGGCAGGTGCTTAGTTTTGGTGGGGCTGATGGTAAGGCCCCACCTCTTATTGGCAAGCTCCAGGTTCAGCAACAACGCCTCCAACTTCTCCTCTGAGTGAGCAGCAATCACCAGATCATCGGCATATATAACATGGTTGAGCAATAGGGAGGCATCCCTTGGCTGCACCCGGGCAATGATCAGCCTCCCATTGTATCTGTACCAGATAGAAATTGTTCCAGTACAGCTACTGAAGGCTTCACGAACTACGTGGTCGAAATAGATGTTAAATAATATGGGAGCCAGAGGACATCCCTGTCGCACCCCAAGGTGTACAGGGAATGACTCCGACTCCCGGCCACGTAGTTTTATGTGGGTTCGCTCACCATCATGAAGGTCCTTAATGATAGTGAGCAGAGGGTCAGGGACTCCGAAAGCATGAAGAACAACCCAGAGCCAAGGCCTACTGATGGTATCATAGGCCTTGACCAGGTTAATAATGCAGAGATGTAGGTCTTCTTGGAATTCCCTACACCTCTGCTGTAGTAGACAAACAAAATATGGCATCTGTGCAGGGCCACCCTTTCCTAAAATCGCATTGGGGCTCCGCAAGCCTCTCCTCAGCGAACCTAGCAATGCGATGTTGAATAATTCTTGCCAGGACCATTCCCGGCACACTGAGGAGTGAGATGCCCCTGTAGTTGTTGCAGTATGTGCGGTCCCCCTTCTTAAAGAGGGGGGCCACCAGGGCATCCTTCCAATCCTACGGAAATCGTCCAGTGGTCCAGACTGTTGTTATGATGTCATGTAGGGCAGTCTGTGCACAAACGCCACCCTCCCTCAGCATTTCGCTTGAGAGATCATCTCTGCCCAGTGTCTTTCCTGGTCTCAGACTCCGGATTGCCTTCAGTACTTCCTCAACAGATGGCACCTCAGCCAGCCACTCACAGGGGGTGACTTCTTCCAATATTTGAGGCACCACAGCCTCAGCAGGTCATCCCCAATTTGTCCCACGTTTTCCAGGCTTAGGGATTTCTCCTCCCCCAGGACCTCACAGAAATGCTCAGCAAATCTGTAAACCTGTTCCTGGGGGTTGGAGATTGGATCACCGTTATTTCCCCTAATGATTGTAATAGGTATGGCGCTGCAGGTTACTTTTTTGATGGAGTTAAAGAGCGACTTGTGATCGCCGGCCATTGAGGCAGACTCCATCTCCTCAGCAACCCGCGACCACCACCCATTCTTGCAGCGCCTCACGGCTCACCGAACCTCCGGTGCAAAGGCTGCGGTAAGCCTCCTCATTCTCCAACGTGGGATACTGTAGCCGATTAGAGTGGGCCTGTCGCTTTTTCTCAGCCAGCCTGAACACCTCCTCGGTCAGCCAAGGTCTCCGAGGAGGTCTGGACCGTGTACCCAAAGCAGCCATTGCAGCTGAATGAG